CCCACAGAGAATTATAATTTTTTCCCTTCAGTCTAAGAGGCAAGATGAAGCACTGATGGAGAAGTGGAGAGGTTAGCGAAGAAGGGATTAAGTTACCTTTAAAAGCTCTGCGTTTGGAGAGTGTGGCGGCCTGTAGCTCTGAGGCTGAGTGATGTTTAAACAGCATAACTGAGATTACTGTTATAGTTTCAAATGCTTAGCAGAGCTACAACTTACAGCAGGGCCTCTAACCTGCTCTCAGCTGTCGCCTGAAAGGTAGTGGAGAATGTGTGTGTGTGTGTGTGTGTGTGTGTGTGTCTGTGTCTGCATATGTTCTATAATGTTTCATAAAGTGAGTTTTGATTGACTTCATGCTGTACCTCTATGGAATAAATCCTAGTAAAAGGAAAGGGAACTATATTGAATATTTTAAATTGAATAGTTCTGAACATAAAATCTGATTGAATGAGCCATGTTTGAAGCCATTGTAAGGTCCCCAAGCCTAGCTGATGCCAAAGGCCCCAAACCCCAGGCCCATGTCCCAGACCCAACTGAAGCCAAAGCCCCAGCACAAGCTCATCACTTTGAGAACATAGGCCCTTAGATCTTAGACACACAACACAAGTGCTTGTCTGGCATAAGCTAGAGCCCCATCATACTTGAGGCTTTGGAGCTGACACCCTGTGCCCAAAACCCCAATGCTCCAGAAATTCAATCTCAGTCCCAGTCCTAGTCCCCACCCGAGGAAATATATTGAATATAATAAAAATGGCTAGTTCTGGATCCAAAATCTGCCATGTTTGAAGCCGCTGTTTGGCGCAGTATATGCCTTGATGTAACCTAGTGAGTTAATGGATGTGCTAATGTAAGTACGAAGCTGAGATCAGCTTTCAATTCACTGGATTCTTGTTAGAATTTTCCTGTTCCACCTTAAATGGTGCAGCAGTTACATTCTGGCAAAGACGAAACTGAGATCTTGAGAGAGGCTGCACCTTTTCTGCGATTGGGCATGGTTTCAGTGTCTTCAGTGTACCCACCCCCAGCATTACAGAGCAGAGAATACTGCTTATTTTTCACGGTTTTCAAAACTAATTTTATATACTTGCCAACTTTTTTAATCATTCAAATTTGGCTGGGTGGTCAATAACACATTTATTACTGCTTCACACAGACGTTAAATTAACATTTGACTGCGTAGAGGACTGCAGACTGCACACAGGTCCATCTACAAATTGCACTTGCTCATGAGGCAGAGTTTAAAAGGTAGAACAGTCAACAAGCCCGAGATGAAAGAGGAAGTCCCTTTTCACACCTGGCACTATAATATGCATTTTGGGTGGTACAATTGTAAGTGGACAGTGCTAGTATAAGTGTAAACGGGATTCAGTGGAAATTGTGATCCTATCACTCAAACCACCTTCAAAGATGGACAGAACATTTGTAGTGTAAATGCTAAAGCATCTTGATGTGACTACTATAGTAAATGTGAGACTACTGTAGTAAATGTGTACAGCACCCATCCTCTAGTCATGAAATCCCATCATAAGCAGTCACTGGAGATTCGAGACAAATGGAAATGCATGCATACTTCCACTATGTATATACTAGGAATGAACAGAGCCAAAGACATAGCAGGGTTAATAAATGAAGTTCTTCCCCTCCAGTACATTCTATAGTTGTACTCATTGCTGGTGCCCCATCATGGCTGTGTCTTCTTGCACATGTATCTTAAAAGTTGAAATGTTGTTATTGTGTTGGGAAATATTCTTTCAGCACATGCACGAAGGTTGTACCTCTGTCTAGCCGCTGTGTCTGCTGCCATGGTTAAAGAAAATTGCTTGCTAGTTGCTTAACTCTAGTATGTTAAAGTGCACTTCAAATATATCCACCCATTTCCTGTGCAATCATCCCTTAAATGCATATGTAGGCTCATGTGCCATTTTGTACATGACATGCAGGCAGAGTGCGTCCAATTTGTGCTTGGAACTGGTTCAACGCTTACTAAATTGGGCCCTTATGTGCACACATATGACAACACACATCAATTGCATTCTGTCTTACTGTGGCAAGTTATTAAAATTAAATTTTGATCATTCTAATTAATAATAAATAAAGTGTTTAACTGTTATATTTTGGCTGTAGATTTATGACTAAATAGCAAGCCTAGAGTTTAAGGGGTTAAAAGGGCAGGGAAATATTTGTATGTGTTTGAACTGTGCAAAGGAATGTAAACTGATGACAACTCTAGAAGTTGTATGTGTATGTATGTGAATGGGATGGTTCAGGCTCTGACAGGGCCGTTTAGCCTAGCCGCCCCCCTGTGCAAGAGGAATGTGCGGAGACAGGAGGATGTGCCGGAGAGCCTGCCCCACTCCTCATTAGCACTCACCACTACCTGTCACAACACGTTAGCCACACCGCGCTAGCCACAGCATGCTAGCTCCACACTGACTTACTCGCAGCGGGTTAGCTCCAAGTGCGTTAGCAACGGCACATTAGTTAGAGAGTTGTTAGAGCCATGTGTTAGCCTGGCCCAGGTTCTTCAGTGTATTAGTGATGCCACATTACACAGACTGGGCGAGCTAACATATGTTAGCATGATCATCAGAGCTAATTAGTTGTTCAGGCAATCCTTTGGCATCGACTCCAAGAGTTGTTTGTGTTTTCTGCTCTGATCTTTCAATCACTAATGCTCTGTCAGTCAGTTTTCGTAGTGGACCTTTAATCAAGCCTGTAATTTTTAAGCTTTATAACAAAAGTTTCTCTGAACTCAACCCAGCACAAAGGTTTGAATTTGAACCCGAACCAAACCCAGCAAAATTTTCTCCTGATGTGAATTGGAGAACGAATAAAACTGAACATTCCAAATGATAGCACCTGTTAATTTTAGCTTCGCTTCACATCGTGCCTAAGAACATCTTTTCCTGTGATAAAATTGCAGTAATGCACGGCCTCTTGTGGTTTATTGCTTTATTAAATCATTTCAATCTTACATTTTATTGACTATGGCAAACTGATGTTTCTGCCATAGTAGATCAGCCGGCAGGAAGCAGTGAGTCGAATTCGCACATGCGCAGAACAGCACGTTTTCTTCTGCCCACTGTAGCCGTCCCTGCCACTGTCGTTACAGTTCTGTGTAACTCAGGCCGGAACGTGTGTCGGATTTTCTCGTCAGCCACGCGCTGCTCTTCCTCTCCAACCAGAGGCAGCGGTCAAAAGTCACCAGACGACATCCTCTCCCTTCTCCGTTCACAATTAACCTTGATGGCTGCAGCTTCCTCTGTTTTTTGCACTGATTCACTGTCACCTGGGGTCGAATGGAAAATGTCAGAAAGAAGGAAGCATAAAAGTGTTGGGGCCGCACAATGCAGTCGACACTCAATTTACTATCCTCCGCTGGGGATCCCCTGCAGAATGCAAACAGTCAGGTCCGGCCCTTTAGGAGATGTCTGAGAGGGTTTAATGAGTGGCGGCAATCACTGATTATCACCCACCCCTACTCAACCCCCTTTCCAGACACACTGTTATTACAGACGCACACCACTTTCCTCCTGCTCGTGTTTGTTTAACTGGCCCAGCCGTCAGATATCTCTGTTTGGAACTAAGTATATTTTCCTGCTAAGAGATGTCATAGGCCATGTGTGTGTGCAGAGATATGAGGGGATGTATGTGTCAGTTTGTGGGCATATGACTATGAGTCAGAGATAACTATAACCTTTGCCACCTTTTGATTTGATGTTTTCAAGTTTCTCTCATTAAAGTGACAGGTACCTTTGACCCATCATACATTAGCGTTGAGAAGTTGGGAATCACTGTATTTAATTATGTAGAACCAACTTTGTCACAGATACGTGTAGAAATTCAGTCTAATGTGTTTTTGGTCAAGATGGTTTGGTGTTAAATTTCATTCTAAAAACTGTCTGAAGATGCCTCCAAAAGCTCTTTTCCATAAAATTATTACATAAAATACTTATGAATACGCTGCCTGATGCCTGAGACACTGAGTGCATTTACATGCACTTAATAATCTGATAACTGCAGAACATCAAATTTTGTCAGTAATCCTATCAATGCGTTTATATGCATTTGAGTAATCAGATAATGGGGAACTCCTGTATCAGACTCCTGAGATTCCTGCTTTACAACTGGCCAATAAACTCACAGAAGACATGACGTAAACGTAATGTAAAACTCAAACTTCATGCTGCGGCTTTTTTTAAAAACACAGAGCCACCTGAACCTCTGAACATACACCTTCTAAAAGATGAAGAATATTTAAATCCTTCATTTCATGAAGCATGTAGTCGGTTTCAGTGTTGCTCTAAAAGTGTTTTGCTGCATCTCGCAGCAACACTGCTCGCTTATTTCCGGTACCGCCATCTGTATTCGCACATGCGCAGACTGAGAAAAGAAGAAGTACAGTTAGAATATGCATGCATTGAGAGGTCTGATTAATAAGCTAAAATCCAGCTCTCTTTATCAGATTTCTTAATCAGATTTCCAGACCTTACTCCGATCTAAGAAACCAGAGTATGCTGTTTACATGACCATCTGAATAATCAGATAACTACAGAAAGCCAACTATGATTTTATGGTCATATTATTGGGTGCATGTAAATGCAGTCACTGTTTTCAGATAAACATTTTGGCTTAAAACACAAAAATATTGTTTTGAATATTCTACATGTAAGGCAGTGTGAGGCAAAATAGTCCACAACAAAACAAATTTTTTCCAGATTTTTTCCAAAACTCAGAAGATGTGCAGGTTTGCTGGTTTTAGATATTACATAAATGGCTTTTTTGTCTTGTATTAATCACAAACCCTGGTTCCTATCACCACCACTGTTTGATGTGTGACCATTTCACATCAAACTATTCAGAATTGCTTTCTTTACATCCCAGCCATTGCACTATGCAGACATTTTGAAAAATTCCCCTTTGATATAAGTGATTTGAAACTTTTGTTCCCACAACAGCAATACTGGAGTGCTAACTGTCAAATATGATTTCATCTTCTACAGGTGATGAAGGTGACTTCCCGCTTTTCCCCTCTGATGTTCTGGAGGAAGTTGGAGGTGTGTCTGATGGAGACCCTATCCCACTGGTCACAGCTAACAACATCCCCTCCCCAAATCTTTTGCATGAGGGAGACGCTGCTGAGGAATCTTCCACCTTCAACACTTCCTTTCACACACCTTTGTACCTGGGCAGGGAGGAGGCGGAGACATCAGTGCCCCCAGACTTTGAACTACGCGAATCGGGCATTTCCCCCAGCAACCTGGGTGTCTGGAGCAAAAGGAGGCTGGAGGTCGGTGAGCAGTTCGGACCCTTTGAGGGAACACCAAGTCACAGTGACCCAAAACGTCCTCATGGCTGGGAGGTAGGACAGTATATTTGGAGATATGATTGCATCTGTTTCATTCTTTTCTTACAGGTTATTCAACTAATTGTCGATTGTCTAAAACATAAGTGAGCTCCACAAATGTAACAATAAAAGACCTTGAAAAGTTTTGTTAATGGAGGGTCCAGTCGTAAAAGCTTCCTAAAAAATAATGGGGGTTCACATTGTGTTCATGGTGCGTTGTTTGGACTGCTGCTTTTGCTACTTCTCTCGCTGCTAAGCAGCAATCGTCAGTCATCTGTCAATCAGCTGTGCTAGCTGTTGTTTTGCTATGTAGAAAGCTCTGTCACTGGTCTTTTTAGAAAGTGATCTACTATCAACTAGCAAGTGTGGTACTGCTTGTAAAAACCTAAAAAGCTGCTTTTTGTTTATGTTGTGCTTTTTTGTGATTTTATTCAATATTTCTTCGCAATTTTGTGTTGGCCAACTCCCATCCGCTAGCTAGGTCTTCCTGTTCATACTACCAAGCCGGAAACGTGCTTCCTCCAAGTCACATGAAGTTACTCACTGCGTGTTTTTAAATGGCTGCTGACACAACGTCATTGAACAGCTCAACAAACGTGGTGGGAAATGCTAACTGCCAATTTTATTAGCTAACAGATACCTACATTGGCTAGCATCATGCTGAGTGATGGGGAGAGAAGAAGGCCCATCCTACCCAACAGAGTGAGGCCAATTATGCTCCCTTGACTACTGACTATGGATGTCTGTGGCATCGCCATAAGATGCAGCCAATGCTTAGGCAGTTCACCGCTCAGGACCCCTGTCGTGCTAATTTTAATATGTGAAATTATACAGCTCTGACTACAACTGTCAGTGATGGCTTGCCTTCCTCATGATCCTGTTGTTCAGCACAGGAAAAATACTAATGTCACAGGCAACTTGACCACTTTAAGTTTAACTCAGGGCGCTTGGAGCTCTCCACTGACAAGACAACTATACAGAGTACTTAAAATTGAAAAACATTAGAAAAAGGGCAAATCTGTCCTCAAAAATGTGAAACCCACTTAGCATGTTTTGGTCAAGTCGTGTTTTGGTCATCAAATACTGATCAGTATTATCTCTACTGACACCTCAGCCATCACTTAAATAATGGCTCAGCACTCCATTGAATTAATTGCTAATAGGCATAATCCCATCAGTCACATTTACAAGACAGTTTATTGGACAGTTATTACACCAATTAGATTGCATCTTGAGTCTGTCACTTCACAAATATCTCACAAGATCTGTTCACTGCTATTCAGAAGATTCCTTCTCAAGTTGAACTTTCTCAAAGTTAAAACTACAGGATAGTTTTACCCTCCGTTTTTGCTAATCTAGAACTTCACTTAAAAAAAAAACATATTAAATTTAGTTTACTTTAAAGTTCAAATTAATATAGTTCCAAACTATGAATATAATTGAATTCTGTGGTATATTTTCCAAAAAAGCAATTCAACAATGTCAAAAATTCAGTAAATTGTAAACTTTTGGACACAAGACTTAGTACTACACTATATATTGCTGTTAACTGCATTTCTTCTGTCTCAGCCTTAGGCTAAACGTTTAATCTATATCCAACACACTGGCCTTTTTGTTTTAGTGAAAACTGGAAGAAGGAAGCAGATGAATCATTCTCTCATTTTACCAGCATTGTAAACTATTCCCCCAGCTTCCATTGCGTTTACCAGCGTCTTGGCTTTTTCGGTTTTACATCATTTTGTCTGTCTCTCTGCTAGAGTGTCGTCATGGTTTCAGAGAAGGGATAAAGAATCCTCAGCCCCTCTGTCCGCGACCCATCCCAGTGATGTCGTGATGCTGAGACGAATGAGAATCCCCCTCTTAGCTCAATTAAAGCCCAAGCTCATAAATCCAGCCTTTAACCAGGTTAAATACCCCTGCCTAGACTACCACCCTCCCCCTTCCCCCGTCCAGTCCTATTCACCCCTAGCACCACCGTCTATCAGACATCAGTCAGTCACTGCACTCAATCGAAGCCAGGGTCACATGACAAGGTCAAAGGTCGAGTGCAGGCTTGGCCAGAGTCCGCCAGGGCTAATTTTGCTTGGCTGGAGGGGTCGCCTAAGGGGTATCAGGCTAATTGAAGGTCTCTGTGTGGAGCTCAAGGAGAGACCCTTATCCAGAGCATCCCAACACAGTGAACTGATACCATTGTGGACAATTCTAGTGTCGAAACATTAGCATCACATATGTAGACGTGCTGAAATTCAGTTGAGTATAACGTTACATTCAACAAACATGAGCAAACATCTCATTCTTTATTTGATGTTTTTACTGCTGTTTCAAGGAAGGTTTACACTGTGCACTAATTGTCACGATAAAAATGCAAATCATGAACAAATTCTTTGGTCTCTGAATGTTTAATTTGACATGATTAATGTAAAAACTTTATTGCGCACAAATTTAAGAATAGTAGCTTATGTTTTTAGCGAACTCTCCGCATAGCTCATTACCCCCAGCTAGGAGCAGCGCCACCCTCTTCTTCCTAGCCATTGGATATGTGTTTTGTTTTTCAGACAAAGCATTGCCAATGTTATGCCAAGGGCTTTTTTCTTTTGTGGCCCCTTTTGGAAAAAAAGCGTGTGCAGAATGCTGTCATTTTGTTGCATTGTAAAAATCTATCAGCAGAAAATTTTTATTGTATAATCTGAAGTGCAGCATAACTGAATTTGCACAGCCTGACATTTGAGACAGCCTGAGTTTGGCCAAGATTTTATTTGCAGCAACTTGTGCAATCTGGCATGCAGTAAACTTACAAGACCGCTGTAATAGCATAGTGTAAAGTGGGCTTTAGTGTGTTATAGGTCTGAGCACTATGCTTTCATACTTGATGTGCTAGCTAGAGTACCAAAGGTCTACCAAACACCCTAAAAAATATCGTCATGGGGAAACCAAAGGCATGATGCTTGTAAAAAAAAATTCCAAAAATAAATAAACAAAACATTTATGCTGCTGTAAAAAGCATTACCCAGGATATTTTTTCAAAGCCAAAAATACACGAAATAGAGAACCACCAACACATTATTGCTACTAAAAATTATATTCAGAACACTGCAAGTATGTGCATGTATTATCTTTTTTTTTCTTAATACAATATCATAATAATATTGTGAACTGCAATAAATGGGTAAATGGTAATTCTCGTATCAGCTTACTCCTGTTCAAAGTTTGGAATCAATAGTTTCAATAACGTAAAGCCAAATTTTTTTTGCACCTATAAAATGTATAAAATTATTCTGTCTAATATTGAAAATGAAGTTATACTTAACCCGGTTCTTCAAAGTTTCTTTAGTAAAGACAAAAGTTATATATAGAACTATGACTCAAAAAAACATTTGAATGTTCTTCTCTATAATAGAGAAGCTGTTGTATATGATTCTTTAAAGAATATATAGCACCAAAAAAGGTGCAGCTTTTGTTCAAAGCCAATGAAGAACGCCTTCTTTTACTACTTTATAGAACTCTTTTTGCTAAGAGTGAATGTCCAGAATGCCTCAAATGATCAAATCTCAGTGATCAAATCTCAAAGCAGATAATTTGACAAGAAATTAGTATAAGACCATTGTTAACTAACTTCTTGTAGTTCTAAAAACTATCTCAAGATACCTTCTGCTAATTGTCTGCTAAGTTATTACTGAATAAAATAACAAATAATATGGCGAATGATTCTAAACTTTTGAATGGTAGTGTATATCAGCACCAATCCTTTTCTTAAGTAAACTGCTTCAACAACAACTCTGATTCACAATGTCAAGAGTTCAGTTTATCCTGGCTTTTTTTTTAGGTGGAAGTTACATTGTAGGCTTGGTTTGGGTGAAACGCTCTGGTTGAAGTTTGGTCGGTTGCCTATGATTATGGCTCCTCTGCTAGAACTTAGCTAAGTGCCGCTGAAAGCTTGACGTTTGTTTTCACGAAATACTGGTTAGCCAATGTTATATTTATATTGTTTAGCATTTTAAATGCCTTACTTTCTTTAGAACTTTCTTATTAAAGCCATTTAGGCTGTGACAGCATTTAAACATCTGCTGATATTTTTTTTTCTTTCGTTTTTCAAGCGATAAATCTGAGAGAGTTTTCCAGAGCCAAGCAGAAGCCCTGCGTAGGCAAACATTGGGATTTAATATGATTGAAAAAGTCTCTGTCTACCATTGGTAGATTTATGGCTCTTTTCCCCCCATTGCTCTCTCTCTCTCTCTCTCTCTCTCTCTCTCTTTCCCTCTCACTCTCCATCTCTCTCTCACTCTGATATCCATGAAAAGGGGAAAAAAGGTTTCATGAATTTTAATCCACTGATAATTTATTGCATGCTTGAATAATATGTATTTAAACAACTGAGAGAGACAGAGAGCAAGAGAGATAGATAGAGAGAGGGAGAGATTATGTCTGTACATGTGAAAGAGACTGTGTGTGAGTGAGTGCGAGAGAGAGAGACAGTGTGAGCATGTGTGTGTGTGAGGGATTGGTTAAGGATGTCATTGCGGCGAGGCTGCAGTGTATCACTATGTTTAATTAGCGTGCTGTCAGCGGCCCATAACTCTCTCCATTAAGTAAATAAGTTGTAAAGAATTTATGATGAAGTGCCACATTATTCAGAGAGGATATTCAATGATGACATCGCTGCATTAAATATGGTAAATGCTATTAACCACTGCACCCCCCTCCACGCCCTCCCTTTCTCCGTCTGCCTCCTTCCCTCTGTCTCTCCCTCGCTCTCTGTCCTCGGAGCGTGAGAAGCCGTCAATATGCCAATATGCGAGAGGCCGTTAAAATAAAATTGATTTGGTAAATGTAACTTCGGATAGATCTGTTTGCTTTCATCATCAATTCTGTCCACATCGAGGGGTGATGTCAGCGGCCCAGGGAGCGATAAAGTGGCGGCCCATCTGGAGCGTTTGATGAAGAGTGCACACACACACAAACACACACACACACACACATACATACATACTCAGAAAGGTGACAAATTAAAAGAAAAA